TACATTCGGAATGATCACAAATTCAAGACATGGGGGCAGAAAATGTGTATATTTATACCCCAGTTCACACGGAAGAGTGCCTTTTTTTCTCCAAAAATTACCATATACAAATATGATATTGATTTTTTTACAGCAGTTCAATAAACTAGAAGTTTTTTTTAGCATTGATATTTTGTTTTCTTTTTAATTTATACACATTAAATATTACATATATGTATGTAATAAAATGTGTATTTCCATTACAGGTTTAGGTCTTAAATTTCATATAAGGTGGTATTAAAAAGGTCTTAAAAAGTCTTAAATTTAACTTGTTCAAGTCTGCAGAAACCCTGCACATGAATGAACTAGCATAAATAAGATACACTTTATAGTTTGGGTAAGGGTCAGATACTGTATGTCAACATTATTTTTACATTTCAGTTATTAAAACATAAAGAGGAGGATTACAAATATAAACAGTGCTCTTGGAGAAAATGACAGAAGAGAACAATTTGGAGCAAGTCTTCTAAAAATGCTCCGGGACAAATTGATCAATACAGCATTAAATGATAAAAAAATATTCAAGCTATGATCTTCAGCATAGACTGCTAGTAGATTTTGTAATTAATCTATAAATAAATATCTTTGAAACGAAAGCATTTTTCTTGAAATAACAGTTACAGGTACTGGTGTTCTTGGGTACAGTTTTAAGGTTTCTGAGAGAAATGAAATAAATGATTAGTGTTACAATGTTTTACTCGTTTGTAAACACACAGTTACATGCAGTGTAACATTACTTATGTTTATGATCTTGTTTACAAAAGTTCTGGCTTACATATATTGGTGCACTATATGTTATGCATACAACAGTAACTGTCTTTGTTTTTATACTAGTCATTAAAACTAATATTGAAAGCACAATGTTTAGACGTCATTTAAATGACGCATTGTTCAAATGATTAAATAAAGGATTTACAGAAGGTTTTTGTGTTATTGAAAATGAAATGAAACATGCGACCACAAACCATTAAAATTTGTATTAAAATTTTATTTTAGTGAAGTTATTCAAATTATGTTACGATAACTTGATTTAATTGCACAGAATTAACATGATCAAAGCATATATCTAAAATAAAATAATAATGTTAAGCTAACATAACTGAATTATGTTAGGATAACTTGAAAAGACTATGTACACATTACTTTTTGAAAATACATCTGATTAAAACAAAAGTATTATAATGAAACCACATAAATGCGTAGGACACTGAACTCAAACTGAATGTGTGGAACCAATATCCACAATTCAATTGAGTAAATCCAACAAATCTTTTTTTTCAGTGTGGCCTTGTTTGTCATTGGCTGTCAAGTGACCAAACCAGTGGAAAAGGTTTCTGCTTTTGGTTTATTGCTTCAGTTGTGTTTAACCACATGGTTTTTGCTGAAAACAAATTGTCATAATATATATCCATTACTCATGCTAGGCTGTTTCTAAAGAACCACTTTGCAATCACATATTTACATGCTAAATCCTGACTGAATTAGCAACTACACATCGCTATGAATGAAAGACCATTTATCACTGAATGTGATGATTCCTAATGTTTGATTGAGTTAATGTAGTCATAAAATAAACTTATTTTTTCCCTAGCTATAACAGTGGACGTGTTCAGTAGCCAAGACTTTAAGGTATGTGCTCATAAACAAACGTATGATCTATTATTAGACTTTATTATCAAGTTCTCATCTTTATTGGAGTAAAACGAGTGGCAACCAGCCCCAGTCTCTCCAATACTCCTGATATCACACTGTAAAATGATTAGTTCTTGACATTAAACACAATGTAATCCACATGATAAGAACATATTTTAGTGTCACACATAACTGCTGTTGTCTTCACGAGTATTTTTAGCTCAAAAAGTTCCCATCTGCGAACTGAAGACAATATTAAGAGAGTTTGTTGGAATAATAGTTAATCGGGAATCCTGCATGATTATCCAAACTTACATTAATGAATGTTAGGAATGATATTAATGATGATTTCATATCATTGATTGGTTTTAGTCTTGAGGCTGATATGTAACTCGTGTCTGCAGTAGATCAGCATCATGAATGTGTTTTTCAAGCCGTTCTGTTTTTCCAGCTGCAAAGACTACAAATGAAACCAAGAATTCAGATGCAAAATTCTTCAACTCTAACAAAACATATTAAGCCACATATAAAATAAGTCAAAAGACTAATTAACAAATTGGTACAAATTACCACAATAGTATATTTAATTTCCTAATGTCATGTTTCTTAAAGAAGAATAACTCCCTGATCAGCAGAATGAGCAGAAGTCTGTTCATCAGAGCAGAGATTATGATAATCTGATATTGTGTTTGATTCTGATCAATAAACTCCACCGCTGTATGATTTTGACACTCAGTTAGTTGAGCTGCTTCTAAAGAAAGTGTGTAAAAAGTAAAAGCAGTGAATGACAAATGTAAGCCGTGATCATCAATATGTTTTTATTTCTGAAGTAAATGAACTCACCGGTGAAGTATATTCTGGTGCTGTTGCTGAGTTTTGGAGGTGTTTCTGTGTTCATACAGTAATAAACTCCTAATTCATCAGCAGTCACATTATTTATAACCAGACTATGTTTAAACTGCACTGAATATCTCTTTCTGGATGTTTTATTGAAGTAAAAATGTGTTGTTGAAGTTGACATTGATTGTAGAATCACTGTTGGAGGATCTGCTGTTTTCGGTAAAATCCAATAAACCTCATTTTCATCAAGATCACAGTTTATGCTCACATTTGACCCCAAATCAGTGAATAGATCTGATACTGTAGCTTGACAACAGATTGATACATCTATAAGATAAAAAAGGGAAAAAAGCATGCATTATAAAGATTACCTGCTTAAAAACAAGGTTAAGTGATAATATCAAGATCAATAATATCATAAAACAATTTATGAGAATCTTTCACATAACTGTATGTGAATATACACTCAAGTGTAATAATGTAATGTAACACATGTAATAAAGTCACAGAGCTGAAGCTGAATGATCTTCATGTTGTTGTTGTGATTAAAATACAGAATTGTAAAACTGTGTAAAATAACTAAATAACAGTGCTGTCAGCATGAATTCAGCTCTGGCTTCCTCTCTTGTCTGTGTGCTTGAGATTTCATAGTGTTTCCGCTCACAGTAAGAGATGTTTGAATGATCACAGTCAGGCCCCGATTGGCTATTCGGGAGCACTGGGAGGATTCCCATTTTATTAACTTTAAAAGTTATTAAAAAGACTCCATTGTGCCATTCTGTGAACATAAGGACATGTTCTGTGAAGACCAGAGGTTAAAAGGTCTCATAAGGAATCTCAGTATGGTCTTTGTCTTCTAGGTGGGGGAAACCACCCAACGCAGTTTCTACTAATGATTTTCCTCATGTGATGGTCATGATATGCTGTGTCTTTGACCATTAATCTTGGTTACTTGCCCCAAATTTGACAATCTCCTTGCTGAGTTGTTCTCTTTTGTGTTAATGTTGCAAGCTGTTAACTGAAAGAGTTGGTTGGTTAGGCTTGCTTCAGACTTGTGGCGCCAGGATCTGATTTACAAACATCCTGTTGCCTTGGGCCTGTCTGTGAAATTCGGCTCTTTGGGTTGACAAGAGCCAAACTGATCAAATCTTAAAATGTCTGATTCGCTCTGATACCCTACATCAGTTTAAAGATTAAAGTCATCTTGAGGCCCCCGGTGGGCCCCAGACCCCTGGTTGAGATCCACTCTGTTAGTGACACCTGTTGGTCAAAAGAGTGTAAATGCAAAAAAAATGCATTCTTTTTTTCTTTTTTTTTCAAAAAAGCTAATTTTTTTTTAAATGCATTCACAAATATATATATATTTTACAAACCCAGTGCAAATGTTTTATTGAATGTATAATCTTTCAAATGCAATTAACTAACCATCTAATACCATTAAATATTAAGTGTCTGTATAAAACAGTATGTTATTTTTTTCAATTTTCAGGGCTTGTTTTGTTTGTTTTATGGATGGCTATGCTAAACAGGCCAATAAGAGACTTTTAAGTGC